TCTCTCCGATTGCTGCAGCGTAAGGGACTACAATAGGTCTGAGGATCTCATCCCTATATCGGCGACCAGTCAGAGTGTTGGAAAATATAGCTTTTTTTTAAACCTTTTACTGCATCATCTCTCCTCCTTGAAATGTTTATTTAGTTTAGTCCTTATTTTAATGTAATATAGTAGTTACTTCTACTTCTTTTTCTTGCTGCCACTGTTTGCGTTGAGAACGGACTGTTTCAACCTAATTGAGATGCAAAAACGAAACATGATGTTACGTCATCTGAAAAGCCGATTCGTGCCGATAGCTGATTGGTTGCCGTGAGATGACGTCATTCCTACTTCTATAAGTATCTCGCGTCGCTCTGGCTCACCCCTTCTAGTTCCTGCTTTCCCGGCACTTGAGTGAGCGGTTTCCAGGCCCTTCAGAAGAATGCATGCAGTCCGGTGATTAAAGTGCATTGGTTCCGGTTTGCGTGATGATGGTTCCAGAATAAAGTTCTTTGGTTCCAGAGGCTACCATGTGACTGCCGTGGGCGGCATCCATGTTCTTCAATAAAGGTGGCAATTAAAAATACGTGAGCGGCGACTCTTTGTGCAAACGGGGTTAGGCCTGTTTTAAGTGCTTTCAAGAACTTCATTTAAATTTTCAGGTGTTTTTCTTGACCATTGATTATGGACTTATTAAATGTGTAGCCAGCTTATTTTTAGGCCGCATAATTACTGTTTAGGACATTTTTGTTTGTATAGAATGCCAGTGTTTTGGAGACCAGGTAAAAATATTGTTTGATGAATGATGATTATATTATATTTTTCCTAAGACTCTGATATTGTCGACATTTATTTTCTGTGTTTTTATTCTTTATTATATTGTTAATAAATTGGTTAAGTTCAAAATCTTTTATTGTCTTCAATGTCTGCACGACATATCTCAGGGAGCTTTTATTGCTACTACTGCTAAATGTTTAATTTCTTTAAACTTTAAACCTTGCTTTAGCATCACAGAGGTCCATCTCGAATGATGTAAGAGGTCTATGCGCCCGTCAATGGAGATGCCACCATACATTAACACTCGCCCACCGCCAAATCTGACACTTTCGTGCACGAACGCAGGATTATTCCTACTGCCACGGTCCCTTCAGATGAAAATACGCCTATTATCAGGATGAACAGAAAAACGGGACTCGTCAGAAAAAAAGAACATTGCTCCATTTATTTCTCTTCCAGTTCACATGCTCTGTTGCCCTCTCCCTGCGATCGCGGCGTTGCCTTGATGTTAGTCTAACACATACCATCGGTCGGCGAGCATACAGACCTACACCATGGAGCCGGTTTTGGACAGTCTGAGTTGAAACCGTGGTGCCAGTAGCCGAGCACAGGTGTTATTGGAAAAGAGTAGCATTCATATTTCGGTGTCTCCGAGCCATTAACACTAAATAACAATCTTCATTGGGCGTTGTTGCCCGTCTACGACCTTGCCCTGGTCTTCAGCTTGCACTTCCAGTTTCCAAAAAACGGTTCCAGATCTTGGAAATCACACTTTGTGACACTCCAATGGCTTGCGCTACTTCGGCTTGAGTTTGGCCACCTTCTAATCTACCAACAACTCTCCAAGCTTCTGAATCGGTTAAATGACTTCGCTGAGACATCGTACTCATTGAAACAAAGCAGTCACTGAATGCCGATCATCCTTGTCTTCATTGTCTTTTGTTCAGTTGTCAAATTTTGTCTTTTGTTCAGAAGTCAAATTTCATTCGCTGCCTCTGAAGCGACGTTTTTGACGTCGAACTCAAAATTAGCATACTCCTCAGTTTGAAAACCAGAAAAATTTGCATTTGTGATTCTCTTCTTCAATTTTCGGCAAAAAAAAAATTCGCTTAGATCTTTATTTTACATAAAACTTACAATATCCTTTAATTGTTTTGAGCAGTGTATTTTCTTTTTCTACAGTACTTCAGAGTCCTAAGTATATGAAAAGAATAGATTTTTAAACAACATTTCATTCTGAACGAAATTAAATGCTATACTTTTCACAGAACAGTTTGCTCAGAACGATTTAATTTGAATGAAATAGTTTCACAAATTTTCGTTAATTACATTAGAAAACAAATTTAAGGTAATTCAGTTAAGGATTACAAAAATTAAGATCAAAGTTTATTGTATTATTAATATTAAAATTATCCATTATTTCTTTTCTATTTATAGAGCTTCTTCCTACTTTATACTTTCTCAAATATGACAGGATTTTTTAGCTTCTTAAGCATCTTTTAAATTGAAAAATATAAGTCAATTTAAAAGTAATGCTCTATTCGGTCCATTTCAAGTTAGAGCACCTTTTATTTTAATAGTGAAATGCTGTAAATAGTACTTAACTTTCTCTAAATATTTCTGAGAGGGAATAAAATAAGGATTTTTTTTTAAATATTATTTAAACCTGTAACTGAGTTATTAGATAATGTAAGGGGGATAATTCTTTTAACTTATCAGATTTTTTACACTTAATTTCAACAATGCATATTCCAAAACTCTTCTTTATTACTTAAGTACGCATCTCATAGAATTTGCTTTACGATACCTTTTAACAGATTGCTTTCCAGTCTGAAAAATTCTTGCTTAAATAGTTTTATAATGTATTTGTCAACAGGATTTCAATTTATGTTTACAATTCAATGCTAAGTTTATTATATATTTAGATAATATTTATAATCATTATAAATTTAGATACATTTTTAATAATTAAATTTCTTCACAGTAACTTTCACTAGTTTATGAATGAATAAATCCTTCATTTCAAATTCATTTATAAATAATTTAATAAATATTTATGTATTTTATTAAAGGCAGATACATGCTTTTTGAAAGTATATGCATAAATATCCATACATATTTCATATTTTTCGTTTCAGGCATGTGCAACTGTGCATTCACTATATTTTTCGAGTAAAGTAATTTACAGTAATTTAACATATACCTGAAAGTTTTACATAAGAAATATGTATAAATATAATTTGAATGAAAATTATATGCATTATTTTTAATACCCACTCAAAAGTAAGTTTTTCTTCAAAATTCCTCCACGATGGCATCTCTCCCTTTATGCAGATAGCCCTTGCATGCCTTACTCTATTTAATAAAAACTTAACCTGACCTATGTGACTAATTACAAATATTTTAACATGCATAATTTTATGTTTACATTTAGCCATCAAATTTCAAACTTTTGACTTAAAACACGTTTTAGGACACATTCATCATAAATTCAAATCTTCTAGTAAATATATTTTGACAGAGCACTCAATACCTCTTTTATCGATTTTACACAGTTTAATAATTCTCTGATAATATAATAAATAATAATAGCTAAGTAAAACGAGTAAGCCCAAAGTGATTATTTTTCAGATATATAAAAATAAAATGATGAGTTTAAAATGAGCAACAGTAAAGCCTCTCCTCTAAAAATTTTTAAAAAAGTACATGCTACAATAATATGTAAATGTAAAAAAAAAATTTTTTTAATTTAAATTATTTTGGCGTTTGGAACATAAAATAAAAGTAGCGAATACTCTATCAAGGGTATCGAAAGATGTATACAATTTTAAAGGTACCGTAAGGTATTTTTCATTCTTTAACCATCACATTTTAACTAAAATCTATATTTTTGTAGTTCAACAGCTTAGAATGTTATAAAACAAATTCATAATCAAAATTGCTGTTGTTATTTATCAAAAATAACCAAGATGTGATTTTTGCGTAAATGTCAGTAAACTATACAAATTGCTATTATTATTGCTGCTAGGAATGTTTCTTTCATGCGAAAGTGTCCCGTTTTTCGATTTGTATGGAACTGTCGTGTGTTGAAATACTTTCAGAGCACTGTCAAGTGAGCTTCTGAATGTAAAAAAACACCCCATCTGGTGACCAAAAACAAAACACCCCATCTGGTGATACAAAAAACACCCCATCTGGTGACCGAAGCTAAAGCAGTGCTTCACTTCTAGTGCCAGTTTGACCACTCCTTCCTTTCTTATTTCCATGGTTTAAAGATGTGCAGGTCAGTGTGGTATCCTAATGAAATCCCTGCCCACACCATAATGCTTCCGCCTTGGAATGCATGATATACGGCGATGTTTTGGGACTGATAGCGTGTTCGTTGTTTACGCCATATCCTTATACGCTTGTCATCTGGCTCCAGAGCAAATCTTGATTCATCAGTTAAACATGACATTGCCCCAGTCAGACACATTCCAATTGACATGTTCCCGGCACCACTGTAATCGTGCCCCTCTTGATTGGATGAATAGAGGAACATAAACTCAAGGTACCCGGGTGTACAGTCCACTTATATGTAATCTTCGGCGTACAGTAGCTGCAGATATCGCCTTACCAATGGACACTGTAACTATAGATGTCACACATGTGGAGGTCGCTCTGTGATTCCGCATGGCTACAGTAGCAATATATCGATCTTCCGGGGGGGTTGTAACCCTTGGGCAACCGGCTACGGGTCTTCTGACAACTGTCCGTGTGGTTTGGAATTATTTCCATAAACGCAAAATTACAGAGTGATGAACGCCGAAGAAAAGAGCAACATCTGTGGTTGACTGTCCTGCTTCAATGCACCCCACAGCATGCCAGCGCTCAGAATCTTCCATTCGTCTTCTGGAAGTTGTAGAAACATGTATGTCTTGAAAACAAATTGTACAAATTTTAACACCTTCTATCAGCACTTACAATCAACTTCTGCAACCCTTCATGAAGCTGGCTTCTTGTAAGACTGCCTTTTTTGCATATTTCTTGACATGAAAGTGCGATTGGCTGTTACCTAACATATTTGGATACTTCCGTCTACCTCTACAGCGAATCTCATCCTCTTCAATTTTGATTGGCTTCCGGAAATTAGCATTTTCCTCTCTGTGCTTAACTTTTAGAAGTGAGTGTATTTCTGTTAAGTCATTCTAATTTTTTATATTAATTGTATTTCCTTATTGACTAATCAAGTTGATTTTCTATTTCCAAGATGTGCCTATTTTAATTTTTATCATATCTGAAATATTTTATTTGCAGAATGCTACTTGGGTTAGGAATAGCTCTTTCTATTTTAAATCGTAAGTGAAATTCGTTTGCTGTATTTCTGTAATTTTTTTTTAGTACCTGCTTATTTATATAAGCCCCATTATTTCAGTGGCATCAGTATATATGGCAAACCATTTCGAAGTGTCTGCCAGTCCAAATCACAAGTGCCCCATCTATGACTGAGTGACAGATACAACTAAATACTGCAGTTTTTAGCCTGAGTTTGATCAGTCATGATAAAACTGCCATTTTTGTGCAGTCCATTAATAAGGGGAATAATATATTTAAAGTTCAGGAGTTACATGGTGAAAGTCCTTAGAAAGGAAATGCATTTGTGTTTTTTAATTTTTACTTAATTGAAGCTTTGCAATAATCTTGATGCTATCTGAATAATGGGGGCTGCAATTATAAGGAAGTATTGTTTTCCTGTACTATTATTAGTATGTCATATTTTTTTAATTAGCATAAATATTTTAATTTTCTTAACATAGCAATTTTTTGGGGTGAAGGAAGACAGCCATTTTGTTTAAGAAATCAAACAAGAGCATATTTAGAATAACCACATTCATTAAATAAAGATGTACATGTTTCTCAGTGTTAATTAAATATTGCAGATAAAGTTCAATAAGCAGGTAATTTTTTTCACCAGGAAAACCTTGGTGAATGTGGTTTTCTATAATGGAAAACTATAGAAAGTTCTCTAATTTTGTAAATATTATTAATATTTTACAAATTTCACGACACGACGGGAGATAAAGTGGATTCAAAAGGTAATAGGAATGATTGAAATATATAGAGTTAGCGTAAACTTAAAAAAAAAAAAAAAAAAAAAAAAAAAAAAAAAAATGCCAGAACTTTAAGTAAATTTACTTTTCATAAATAATAAGGGGTACTTGCATATTAATGTAACCACCTAGGCTGAATATGGTGATTTTTGACAGATGAAAGGTAAACGTTACTTATCAGGTGTAACCTGGGTGGTTTTAATTTCTTTTTAGAAAGGTTCCTAAACTATAAATATTTATCATAAGAAGATGAACATTATCAACATATGAAAAGAAAACATACATCAGTAATTTAAATTACCAAATTGAAGTATTTAAATAAGAATTGCATGATGCATTAAAAAAATAAAACATACACGTTCTTCTTCATTTAAATTTTTTTTTACTCTGTTCTCCCAAAGTACACAGCTATCCATTTTCGATCAGACAAAATCAGAGAATTCCGGAGATTTGGCTTCATGCAACTTACAGCAACAACAGCTATATAGGAAACATATTTCCTTGTTACTCCCTTTAAAAAATTTTCAGCTAAATCCTGTATTCCTACAGAAATTTTACCAGAGTTTCTTCCATTGCTGGCAAATGCCATAAGCTCATTGTCTTAAAACTAAGTTTTTTTTTTTAAATTTATTGCCTTAATTTTTTTCCTTTTAATCCAAATATTTGTTTTTGTTCCCATGGAATGCAGAGCATGTGCAGCTGTATAAATCCGTTTTATGCATGAGAAAATTTATAAAAAAAATCCATTGTTAGGTAAATTAAAAATCGAGTTTTGATTGTCATTTAGTATTAGTGGTAAGGTTTTAAAAAGTAAGTGATGTGTGTGAAAATAATCATATAAATCTTAACTCAGAAAATCAGTTTGAACTACATTAGCATTGAATATTTCTGTTGTTTATATCAATCTTTTACAGTTTCAAATGATTTTAATGATTGTTCATTTAAAAATATCCTTTAGTGCTATGCAAGCAATTGCTTATTGTTTGCTTTTTTAATATTACTTTCACATTAAATTATATAGTATTATGTAAGAATAAAACTGTGTTTTACTGTGGGGGGAGGAAGAACATGTATTTCTGGAAATTTTGTATTTTAATGTCACAAAGAAAAACAATATTTTTGTGAAAGCTTTTTTTTTTTTTTTTTTTTTCATTATGTTTGAATTCTTATAGCTTTGGTAGATAATGAGTTCATTATGATATTTTGTTACAGTGCCTCTTGAGTACTTATCTTTGTGGATTGATATGCCCTTTATGATTTTGCTCAGTGACATACGGCAAGGAATATTTTATGCATCTTTACTAAGCTTCTGGCTTGTTTTCTGTGGTGAACATCTTATGGTTAGTCCAAATTTACTGTATAAAATAAATTAAATCACAGTCTATATGTAATTAAATCTGCTTGTTCTCCAATTTTTATTTTCTTAAGTACCTTTTTAAAATGTATAAATTTCACTTTATATGTATTATGTATATATAATTGTTCAACAAAAGTATCTCATATAGCTTTTTATTTTTAAATGGGGAAAAGAGTTTGATTGCACAAATTCAGTGCATAAAATATTTAGCTTTGTTTTAATTTCAACTATGCCCTTTTTTTAATAAAAAATAATATACTTAACTCTTAACTTTTATTCTTCATTAAAAATAAATTTTCTGTGCATTTGGAGCTTGCATAGCTATGTAAACTGTGCTATTTAATAATTGCTAAGGAACGTCTGATTTTAACAAAGTAGTGTTCCTAGCTGCTGCACTATCACAGAACAATAAAAGACATTGCAGGGCAAGAAAATTTAATTGTTTAAAAGGCAGTGCATATAAGCTGCATATTCATTCCATTGTGAAGGTTTTTGGTGGCTCACTGTTGGTTCTTACAAGCTATGACTTCTTATTACTTAAAACAATCAACTTTATTAACACAGACTTATTCATTAAAAACAAAAGCTACTATATGGTATTCCAGCTTCCCAGAACCGAATGATATTGACACTGTATTGTTGATTGGTGGCATGCACAGCTGTTGTAGAACAATTTGGCGACAGGCACAGATGAACATGAGATAATCGCAAAGCACTCCATCCAGTGACTTATCCATAAAACAAACATGCGTTGATTACAAAGAATTCCAATAAAAGCTATATACAATTTGATAAGAGTTATACATTAAATTACACATTGAAATATACGTGTAAAATGAAATACAAAATTTACAGTTGATAATATGTAAGTTATAATATAACATAAAATAGTTGAAGTACATAACAATACAAATGCATGTTATAATGAGATAAAAATGATGAAATGTTAGTAAAATGAAAATTTTAAACAATTCTCAGATAAAAAAAGTCACAAAAAGATTAGTATTTAAGTATTCATATATATTAACTTTAACAACAAATAAACAAGAGGAAAATGTTCAATTATATTGCAGTGGTCTGTCTTTTTGGAAAATGAATACAATGTCCACTGCAAGTAATTGTTTGTTTTAGAACAGTATTTGAGTAGTTGCAGACTTTTTGATGTGGAATCTGAGGAATTACAGGTGTATCTATACATTACAGCAAGATTTAAGCTGGTTTTAAATGATCGACAGAAGCTGTAATATTTTTATTATTTACCTCAATTAAAATTTTTTTGTCCATTCATTTAATAACAGCTTGAGGTCCAATATAAGGTGCAGCTAGAGGAGGTTTAACGAAATCAATCCTAAAAAATATATGAGAACAAGTTTGGAGTGCTGGATGTACATAATTGATGGTTGAACATGTTTAGAGGTTGGAATTGGTTTGAGTGGATGCATGACTGATCAAAGTTGTAAACATAAGATTCAGAAGGAGGTACAGAATTGTTCAGAAGGATGTGCAGAATTGGTAACGTTTAGCATACCTGAAGATAAACTAAGTATGGTACTGTAAACAAGTTTGGCACAGCGTTTTAACATTTTTAATGCAGACTTTATACACAACAAAACTATTGGCAGAATTCCGGTCCATTTTGGGTTGTTATAAGCCATTATTGCATGTTTAAGCTGTCTATGAAATCTTTCAATAAGCCCATTGGACTGAGAATGATAAGCAACAGTTTGAATAGTGGGGTGTAACCAAACCCTTAAATAAGTGAGATTCAAAATTACAGCCTTGATCAGTTGTAGTTTATATAAGGCAGCCAAATATAGCTATCCAAATACTAACATTTTACAAGTGGTCTGAACAGACATGTCTTCAGTAAGTGTAATTTCCGGCCATCTGTTGAAGAAGTCAATAATTGTTATGCAAAAACTGTTATTTTCAGATGTTGGAAGAGAACCTATAAAATCAATATGGATATGTCCAAATCTTGCATCAGACAAGGAAAAGGTAACCAAGGGTGATTCTGAATGCTTATGAATTTTATAACGTTAGCATTGTTGGCAAGATTGAATGCCATTTTTAACAAATTTAAGCCAAAACAATTGTTTAGTGATTACTTTCGTTGAGCCTAAAATGCCACCATGAGCTATATATTGTGTCTGTTGAAAAACTTTAGAGTGAAAAAATTTAGGAATGTATGGAAGTGATGTCAATATTGCAGTAAAGAGTAGCACTTTTTAACAAAAATAATGTTTTTCTAGTTTGAAAACTGTTGAAGGTAGAAAGAGAGAATTTTTAAATTTGTAGTCCTGAAGTTTTGCATCAGATAACTTTTTATAATCACTGGTAAGCTGATTACCAGTTCGTTTTATAATCACTAATTCTTTTTATTATCATCAATATGTTGATTAACAGAAACTATATCTATTTCTACTGTGGATAAGGTGTCGGCAAAGATGCCAAGACCTTAGGTGTTTCGTATATCATTGGGAAACAAAATCAAGGTGGCAAAGTTAGCATAGAGAACAGTTTTCAGTTCTTTGCTTAAAAGTAGATATTAGGGGCTTTTAGTCTGTGTAGATTGTAATTTGAGAATGTGCTGAAATTTGTCATCAACAAATATATAGTAAGTAGTTCTCAATTATAGATTGACCATGTCCTTTAACTTTTGTTAAATTTGATAGATAAAAATAGAATGGGTTCCCGAACTGATTTATGTAATTTCATTAATGAATCACAATGCCTGATGCATCAGTGCAGCATTTTAAAGGAGCACTAGAAATTAGATCTCTGGGAATGGTAGCCTTCAATATTGCGTTTTTTGCATTGGGGTATGCTTTCTCGGGTTTGTCGTCCCATTTAAGATGGTGTTCTGTTATTTTACTCAGTTGTGGAGGTTTCTTATGAATGTGGTCTTCCAGTAACCTATTTAATGGGGTCTAAAATATGGAAAACTCTTGGAACAAAACTTCTGTAAAAATTAAAAAATGCCAAGAAATTTTCTTAATTTTGTCAAAGAGTTCGATTTGGGGAAATTTTGAATGGCTTCTCTCTGTGGGATTAAGGTTTTAAACCCTGTTCAGATACACAAAAACCTAAAAGCTGTTAAGATGTTTCCTCGTAAAACTCAGGTGCTAAATTTCCCATGTGATGATAGCCAGTTATTCACAGTTGTTTTCGTTTCTCCAGACCCTCACTTAAGTCTTTCTGGTACGTTTCCGTTTCGCCGGCGCAAATCTCTTCAAGCAGACTTTGTTGGCGACAACATACAGTATACACATAAAAAAATTTTAACAAATGTTAGTTCTAAGAATATTTTATTTTGAAGGCATAAACATTTTAATATGGTTTAAAATTTTGTAAAAGCCAATAAATAAAGACAATAAATTTGTAAGAAGGCATTAAGAATTTACTATCCTATCATGGTTCAACATTGATCCTAATTCGCCGGTTCGTATCACGTGACCCCAAGTGATCTCATCTCATGTAAATTACGCTACAATAATTCTCTCAGTAATTATCTACATTAATTTCAAATTAAATCTTAATTTGGAGTACAAGTTTAAATGCAAGCATTATTTCAATTCATACGAATAGCTTACTCAGAAATTATGTAAAATCACAGTGTTTGACTTTGCTAGTGCAATCTCATTAGAAGTGGTGAATTTAACCCTTGATTTTGCCTTTTCTATATTTTAGTCTTGGGGCATAAAATTTAATTATCTTTGTAAATATTCTATGTAATTGTAAGAAACAATTAATCTGGTTAGAAATGGCTGCGACTTGTTTTGAAAAGGAGGCGTGAAAGATTACCAGCGAAGATATTCTGTTTGGCATCAGTGTACCATTATTGGTGACTTTATCGTTTGCGCCAGCAAAACGGAAAAGTACCATCTTTCCTTTACATGAATCTGGGTCTCAACTGCTTGAAACCAAATCATCAATGCTTAGAGACAGCTAATCACAGCATGATTTGTCATTTCCGTAACCTTTTTAGGACAGGCGTCCCATATATGCATTTCCTACAAACATCTCTCATTGCCAGCATCCCACCCACGCATCTCTGAAGAACTAATGCCAGGGACATGTGTGCATTTTAAGCTGAAACAAGTTTTAAAGACTACTAGATGGCATTCTGTATCCATTACTTTTGAATTGAATATAGTTTTACCATTCTGACCTTCAGTTTGATCACATTCTGCATAACTTGCATGCAGCCTTTGCCAGGATGGAGGCAAAACATAATGTAAACAAGCAGAGCTGAGCTCTTTAACTTGCCAGGTGATAAAAACATTCACATTTCTGATATCCCTTTGATTCCTTTTTTATTCTTTTTTTTACTACTTTGTAGGGGCTTTTAGGGTTACTATGTGGAGTTCTATTTTGCGTGGCATTGTTTCTATTGCTTATATTTTACGTACTTCCCTTTTTTTATTTTGAAAAGCCTTGACTTCAGTTTATTATGTTGAGAAAGCATTATTTATCAGAGAAAGGATATACTTGCATGGTAAATGAGTCATTTAGTGACATGGATGAGAGTGATGATTTATTTTCTAAAGAGTTAGAAAGGGATATTTGTGGTGATTCTCGTATGGAAATTTCAGTAGAGACTGAGCTGATCGAATTTCTGGTAAAATATGCAGATGATTCTACTGAAAGTCAGCCTTCCGCATCCCATAAAAGATTTTTTAACTTTTTCATGTAAATAGTCTTTCTTGTATTTTTTCATTAAGTTCAAAGTTTATTAAATATATTTTGTCAATAATATTTCAGAATAATTTGAATAGTGCTTTCGAAAATATTTTCTCAAAGTAGGCAATTTGTTTTGCATATTTTCATGTAAAGTAAAGGATAAAATTATTAAATGCTGATTTTAACATGTATGATAGCTTAAGTAATAATCTAAAATAGTACCAAAAATTATGACATTAAGACTTAAACTTTTTTTCCCCTGATTCTTTTCCAAAAGTTAAGCTTAGCACACAAAACTGCTGTGCTGTGAAATGATTCCTTTCGACTTCCATTCGTCCCGATGGAACCTCTTAAACAAAGGCACACCATTTTGAAAGGGTTAAACAATCTCACCCATTTTTTTCACTTTACTGTCACTCATCACATTATCATGATGTGCTTCTCATATCTGGTGATGGATATGTGTAGCTTTCATGTTTCTTGCTGTTAAGAACTGAATGACTGACTACAATTCATATTTGGCAGAAAGCTTGATTTTAATCTCACACACAAAGCATATGGATTAATGCCGTGAATGCATGTAATAGTATATTCTGTGCTAAGAATGCCAGGAGCCTGTGCACATACAAAATTTAAAACTGTAGTTTCAAGTAGGCTTTACTTACAAAATAATTACCTTCTTATGAATTCCTAGAAGCAAAAAAGAATAGAAATTTTTCAATTGACCATATAACCACAAACCTTGTATGTGGCTATTGGCTTTCATACATGTGCTAGAAATGTTTCTTGGCTGTTAAATCATGTCAGCTTGTATGCATGGAAGTCATTTCAATAACAGCACATCATCATCAGAATAATGATGTTGATATAATTAATATATTCATTACGGGTCAGAAGTAGTGGTCCAAAGTGATGTTCTCAGATGAATCCTGATTTATTGTCAAAACTGATTCTGGATATCAGCTGTGTAGAGAGAAGGAGAACTCTACCAAAAATAGCATGTCCATGAGGATGATTGTTACAGCTGAGAAGTTATTACATTTTAGAGCATTCTGCATGATGGCAAAACATGCTTCATATTTTTTATGAAGGTACCATTATATTTGAGTTATACTACACAAAGTTTCACTTGAGCCATATTTGTCTTAGTTAGCTACAATATGAATCTAAACCTTAATAATATGGTTTAATTTCTGCAGCAGTTGTAAGTATTAGTGCAGTTGTAAGTTGGTAAGGGGAGTGCAGTTGTAAGTATTAGTTATACATTATATGTTTCTGCTGTGCTGTTTGTGAAATATTATGAATTCAGTTCTTCATATGTAATTTGTTTTCACATACTAAATATGTTTTTTAAGCTTAAGTCTAATGCCAAAAAGGCATGTTATTATGAAATCAAATTTTTGTGAAGATATTTAATTCTGTAGCTGAAAGAGGAGAGATATATAGGTTACTTAGTAAATATAATATTGAGTACAAGCGAAATTTATTAAAAAATACTGAGTATGCTGAAATGTAAGGATATTAACTATATGTTTTAGAAAATAAGGAGAGATTTCAGTAATTTTCTGTTATAGAATATTACTTTTAAAACTTATGAACAAGAGGAGTAATTACTGCTCAAAATCATTAAGTAAGCACTTACCATCAGAACACTGCAGTTCTCTTAGTAGTATAGCAAAAATGATTAAGCTTCTCATAGTTCATCAATTTTTCATGGTAAAAGTTTGGTGAGCAATAAAGTTGAATTCCATCCTAATATGCCGTGTAATCTTCAATGAACAAAAAATAATTACTAGAAGAAATATGTAGTAAGTTTGAATAGTGACTCAAGAGCTCCTCATTTCACTTAAGTATGTCAATGAGAAATGATAGATAACATTATCTACTAAAGGAATGATTGCATTGTAAAATATTTAGTTGTTTTGAGTCAGTGTATTATTTGACTTTTAGAATATCTTAGATCATTACTGTATTTAGGTTCTGTAGCATAATCAATAAATTTGTTTTATTAAATTATTAATCCTTTTTTGGGGGGGGGACTTTGGAATTTCATTATTAATCCTTTTTTGGAAGGGAAATTTTCTTTAAATAACTGCAGAATGTCTACTGTACAGTCTGTTAGACAGTCTATCACATCACATGGTTTTAGTATGGAATAAAGTTTTTCTTTTGGGGGTTATGCTATTCGCTTGCAGATTTTCTTAATAAAGCATGAAAAAATTTTCAAGATAGAGGCTTAAAGCAGCAAAGGTAACTTGTAGTAATTTTCTGATCCATTAGCTCACTTAATGTTGAATTATACAAGTAATATACCCTGGTGTATCTCTTTCTGGTACAAAAGCAATGATGTACCAAACAATCTTGTGAAGTGATCTACAGAAGAAATTCTGTTTGAGTGTTCAAAAGTTTCTACAGAATTTATATTATGAATTCCATTTTGTTGCTAGAAAATTACTCATATTAAATGATAGCTTTTATTATGATTGTTTAAAGTTTTTTGCTATAGAAATTTAATAGCTGTCTTTCTTCTTCTTTCATTTGCTAAAGGAAGGTAGAAAGGTAAGTTTTTTTTTAATTGTTTTTACAAATATCAGTCTCAGCTGTCTACTTGTATATCTTACGAACTTGATTATAATTGCCATTATTTGCAAATTCAGTATATATCTATTTTATGTATTTATAAACCTGCTAGTGTGATGTATGAATTAAATTTAATTCTGTATTAAAAGTATTCCAAAAATTATATCCCCCCCCAGGTGATAAGTCAATCAGTTGATAAATGAAATGAGATGCTGGTGTGTCAATGAAGTAGTTATTTACGTTTTTCTCTGTATAATTATATTAAAATTTTAGAAGAAGTATATCTAATATATATATAATATAGAATATGGCTCTTTTATTTTATCATATTTATGATATTTCTATGAAAGTAATTCTTTCACTAATTAAAAAAAATCTCTTGATATTGCTAGGATGAAGTAGAACGAAATAGATTGAGAAGTTACTGGCGATATCTTACCTCAGTTGCTTTTGGTTGTTTTTGCCTATTCATATTTGACATGTGCGAAAGGTATGTCTTATATTTATTCTGGGAAAATCTCTTATTTATTTATTCTTCAAATAAATTAATAAATTAATTTATGTTCACGTATTTCAGGGGTGTGCAGTTGAAAAATCCATTTTTCAGCATATGGACATCTAAAATAGGATCTAAACTGTCTGTATCCTTATTGAATGCTATTATATTGTATAAATATTTGTTTATTTTTTACTATTTTGTCTGCATTTATTTTATAGCCCTTTAATTTTTGGTGTTTTTGTTTTATATTTTTTATTATTCTAAATTTGAGGATATTTCTTTTATATTTTGTATAAACTTTAATAATGTAATTATTTTATTGCATTTTAATTTGTAGAATTCTAGGTAAATAACTGTAGAAATCCATATATAATCCTAATAGAATTCTGGATACTTTCTGTGGAAATCATTTACACTTGGCAATAAAATTTTTCAAACAATTGCTGAAAAGGTTGACAAAATTTATTGGAAGCTGTTCAGTATTCTTGTGGGGAATTAAAAAGAAAGTTCTAAAAATTTCTTTCTTCTAAACCATGTTTGCTGGAAACTTAAGTAAGTACTAGTTTTGTGACATCAGTTTAAAGTTGACTCACTCGGTCTGAAGCTTCCATAATCAAACTTTATTTTTGGAGTCTTTCTATTTTCGACATCTTTTTTTTTTTTAAATTTTTATTCTGGATCTTACTGCATTACACGGATTGTAGCATAGTATAAAATACCACATTGTTTATTAATATAACATATAATTATATTTTGATGTATCTAAATATTTACTTAAAGTGAATGTGGTTTTTGACATTAAAACCAGCCTTTTACTATTTTTGATAAGTCAGGTTTATAATTATTACACATTGCTTTTAATACTTCATGAAGCTGAGAATCAGTAAGTTAATCTCTGTCTAAGTCTTCACATATTACATTTTGAAACTAGTGATTCACAAAGATATGTTAATGAGGAACATGAGTGAAACTATAGTGAAAATTTTTGCTCGTTCTATATTCTTTTTAAGCACTAACTTACCTCTCCTCTTTTCTTTAAAAATAGCCTCTAAATTTGTATCCCTAACTATTGAGCTTGATAAATTTGTGAAATAATGTTGTATAATCATATCCCATTGTAACTAGTCTCTAATAATTGTTATTTCTACATTATAGAGATGTTCTACAAGCAGATAACAATTCTTAATATTTCTTAAATTCCTTGCAACTAAATAATTTCAAGTTATTTTATAGTCAGTTTTAAGCATAATTAAAAAATTCAAAATTTTGCTACAGTGCAGATGATCCCCACTCATGCTAGTCTTCTATGTATAATGCCTTGGCAGTTCTAAATAGTCAGTGTATCAGTGAAATTATTTTGAGTTTAAAACGGTTTGGGTGAATGGATTAGCAATTTTACTATGCCCTTTTCTAGTTCACTGTTTTATAATTTCAATGTGAATTTTAAAATCATTTACCTGCAGTAATGGATATATTTTTAATGGTGAGTTGTGGTTATTTTCCCAATATTAAGGATTTTTGTTTGTATCTGTGATATTGTTGGTGTTGTGCATAATTTGTGTCTTCCTGTTAGATGATATACAACATTTGATTGATATTAATTCTGTATATTTTATGTCTTCCTTTCTTAATTAACTCCACAACATTTTTCATGATATTAATATTATTTATAAATAAGTCTTTACTTTTTTATCTTATATACATATAGACACACATTTTTGAAACACATACCATTGAAACAGTAACATAAGAGCAAAAAGGCATGTGGTAATGAATGAACCATTGTAGAAAACTGAATAAGTGAGTTTTTTTTGGGGGGGAGGGCGGTCATAAGGAACCAAAGAGGTTGGTTGTTTTTATGTTTCTCATAACGACATCACTAAGGGGTTAATGGTAGAAAAATGTAAAAATTGTAGCCTGTTCTTGAGCTAACCAATGAAATATTTATTAAAATTATTTAATGATACTTAGATTAAAAAAAATTAGATTAAATTGCTCATTGACTGTCCTGCCTTGACAGGCTTCACTTTGGTAATAGCACTTGGTGAGAAACTTTCATAAGTAAAGAAAACAAAAGAAATACTTAAATTTATAAAAATGTACTCAAAATACTAACCAGGCCAGAATGAGAAAGCAAAAGATCATAGATAGTGAGTAATGGCCACTGCACAGGACCAGAGCTTTTTGCAATATATCAATGCAGATTGAAGTACAGTTCATTTAAAAAATGACAGGAATTTGCATTAGGAATCAGACTGGGGTGAGGAGTTTGCATTAGAAATCAAACTAGCGAAAATCCAAAAAATGGCAACAAACATGCAGGTTGGAAAATACTAACACTTAATTAAATGGCAGACCTGTAATCAGTTTGCTAAACTAAAAAAAAAAAAAAAAAAATCTCATTTAAAAGACAAATTTTATAATAAACTAAAAGATAATATGAAAATTAATAGAAATAAAACTGTTAAATAAATCAAGCTATATGAATTGTTATAAACTAGCTGTTATATATATATATATATATGTCAATATTTAAATCCTCTTTATTGCATTGTTGTTATGTGGTGCATTGATTTATTTATTAATTTTATATTTGTGGCCATATATTTTTTATATGAGTGTTTATTTCATATCCATTGTTTTTTAATGTTGCAATATTGTAAAATTAGCTTATGTGAATTGGGAGATATGTACTTGAAACTTCTAGATGCTTGTAGAACACTAGACCTATGCTCATGTTACACTATATAAATATGGATCAAAGTTATTTTTGTTGTTCATCTGTGAGATTTAGTGTTAACTAAATTATGAGTTTACCCTATAAGTGATTTTGGCAATTGCTGATATTTTTCATGTACTAAGGAATTGTTTAATAGTAAGATCTTGTTTAATAATATGCTTAAGTTGTACGTTATTAACTGTGCTATTTGTAATGAATTTTTATAATAAATTGTTAAGCTCTTCTTGTATAGTTAGAGTAATCATTCAGAAAGGTATCAATAAACTGGAAGCTTGCGACAATATACAGTGGCTGTCATTTGTTTTTGTCCACTTATAGTTTTTAAATTTATTTGCATAGATCTTGTACTAAATATTGTTATAGATCTTGCAATAAAATTTGCATAGATGTTTTGAAATATTGGTTAGTTTCGAACTTTTTTCTAGCATATTATTTTCTTTCTCTTTTAAGCCTTGCTTGTTACAGAATAAATATAATCAAAATAAATATTTTTTGTAGTAAAATATTTTATTTAAAAGTACCTTGCATAATAATTTGGACACTCCAAGGTTTTGTTGAGATGTTTTAGTAGAGAATGGTTCTTCTCATTTTTTGTTTTAAATGAAAATACACCATAAGAGAACTACCATATACATTTGGAAATTACTATATGTTTTGCAAAATTTTTATAAACTGAAGTAAATATGGCAGGATGCTACAAATTAATTGTAAATTCTAATAGAAATTTAATTATTCATTGTTTCAAAGATGGTAAAAATATTTGAAATATCTCCAAAAAAAATCTTAAATACAAAACATTAAACAATCCTTGATGTTTAAAACAATGGAAGTTTTGTAGAACTATTGAAAATGCGCTGAAATCTGAACCACATTCCAAGATAACATAAAGAAATCTGAGGTTTATGCAATGGAAATTAAAACAAAATCAAAAAATTAATGCTGTTTACAGCATACAGCATTAATTTTTTTGGTTTTGTTACAGGTACTGTTTTGGTCTCTACTTACAGCAGATTTAGGACAATGGTTTGCAATAAAATTTAACACTGAAACCGTTAGAAAGTCATTTGAACACATGTATGCAGTGAGCGATCAGCAAGGAGAAAATTTTTCAACAGCAAGTTAAACAATCAAGATACACCTGGCATTTGCAAAATCCATGGTAAACAAAGATATATCATACTGAAATAATGTTATATTTGCAGGTGAGGGAAAATTCGATATATTTGGGTTTAGTAGATGAATTGCTGTGAGGTGAAAAACCAATTGAATTGAATCCAAAAATCCTACTCCCTTTTGTTTAGCATATGCTTGCAGGCATAATGGTTTGGGCATGCTTGGTTGTCTTTAAGGTAGAAAATTTAATTTTTATAGAAAATAATATGAATAAATAAATATTCTTAATAAAACCTGATGAAAGCCTCAAGAAAACTTGGACTGCAAAATATTTTCAAGTTCTATTAGAATAACAATCCTGAACTTACACTCCCATATGTTTCCTTGTGATTAATACACAACTGTCACGCAGATTCCCATATTCCTCATTTCTTTGAATTTAAATCCTTTGAAACATATGTGGAGCAAGTTAGAAATAGTCCGGTTTGGTTTATTTGATTATGGCAAAGTACTCAAGGCCTGCTGCCTAAGGGGAGAAATTCCTTCATGGAGGAATTCCTAAGCGAAATTGGCTTGTATATATGTTACCGTGAAAGACCGAAATTGGAGAATGTCAATATTCACCAAAAACGTCAGTGAAAGATCAAATATTGCATTACATTCTTATACATTCGGACCCTCACCAGTGTATATCAACAATCACATATGTTCTGGTGTAGGTCAAAAAAAGAGGTCATAATAGTTTAAGTTGTTGCAATAAGTAAGATTTGAATCACATAATTTAGTAAGTTTTTTATTGCTATTATTTTATTTTCTCATTTAGAACGTACTGTATAGTTAAGTTTTTAACTTCTATTATTTTCCTTTCTCATTTTCTCAATGTACTTTTTAGTACATTGTATACTCAATGTGTTATACTCAATGTACTTGTGTTTTAACTTCTTTTGTTCTTAAGTTCTTATTTTAAGTCTCAAGTGCGTTTTTCGTGACTGAATTATAAGAAGAAAATGTAATATTCTTATATGTTCAACATTCACCATTAGTACTTGGTGAATGTCGACATTTACCGGTGTAAGTCAGAAATAAGATTATTTGGAAAATATTTCGGACATACACCAAGCGACTATGTGAATGTTGACATTTACTGGTAAAAGTCGACATTCTCCAGATTTCAGTATTTCACCGTAACGTATAAATTGCACATTATACATAGTGAGTTAGAGAAAATAGTAAGGAAACGTAACATTTCTTTGAAAGCTCTACTAAAAGCAATAATTACAGAGGAATGGAACATTCTTACCTGAAAAAGTAATTATATCTATTCCAGAGGGAATGAAAAGTGTAATTTTAGCTAAAGGATATCTAACAAATGCTGAATTTCCTGTTATTTTCATGTTTTTATTAAATATAAACTGTTTATTCAAAGTGTCCAAATGCTTATGCCAGTTGAATTTCAAAATTTTTTAAATAAACCTCTCTCTCTCTCTTTTGGATTACGAAAAACATTTTGAATAACTTTTTCAAAAACAAACAGTTTTAAAAAAGATGACCATTGGTATGTGTAAAAGCAAAAAAGTTATTTCTTTAATATTTAATGTGATATTTGCAAATAAAACTGAAAAATACAAGTGTCCAAAAACAAATGTGAGCCACTGTAAATACACATAAATCAGCACCAAATAATTTTTGTGTTTGCTTTATCTTTTTAGTGATATGTGTATTTTTTAAACTAATGACAAGTTTTATCAAAAAACTCTTCCTGTTGAAAAAAGTCCTTAACTACATGTAGCTTGGTTTTATTGTAATGGCTGGAATATCTGCATGTGCATATTTCTTTTTCCTGTGTTATTTAGTAATAAAAGTTTTCAAAAATATTGGTTTTAAGAGGAATACTTTGCCAAGCATGAGCAGTACAAGAAGAATGTATTATGAAGTAATCACTACATTTTATTGAATAGTAAATACAGTTTTATTATTATATTATTAAACATAATTGTATATTTATATTAAAACTCATTTTTAGGGCATCATTTACAGATTTAAGTTTTTGATGATGGCAACTGTTCTATGTGCAGCTTTAACTGTTATATCATTCATTATTGGCCAAGTAAGAAATATTTTAATTTTTTAATTTCCTAATCTTTTCATTCAGGTTGGTTAGTTTAATGTAAGGTATGCTTGACTACATTTATTTTATTTAATATTTTGGTATACCAGTAAATGTAAAATTATTCTTCATTATTAACTTGATTAAAAAGTTTATCTTATCTTTTTTCAATGCCAGAAGTCAGATGTTAATGTATCCTATAACCCCAAAAAAGATTACTACTAAAAGAAAAATTCATGTTTTGTAAAAGCAGAAAATTTTTGCCATTTCACTTGCACAGTATCTTTTATTTATTTTCCAAATTAGCCGTTGCCATCTTATGAAATATAAATCAATGAAGAGAATGGCCTGTGTTTTACATGACTAGCTGCTTGCTCAGCCAGCCACCTAAAATAGTTTTTATGAAAGAGAAATATATATATCTATATAAGGATTTTAATGAATCCAACTAATATAATTAGTAATAATGGAAAGTAGTCTGTTTGTGTTGATTTTGTATCACTTAATTAATTAAAAACAATAAATTTGAAAGAAAAATTAAATATCTTGCTCATTGATGAACAACAACACACTGTCTTGTTGAAGATAAAAATACTTTCATTTGAAAATAATAACACATTTCTTTTCAATCTCCTAGTTCTTTGATTAAATTCAGAAGAAAGATATATTGTAATTTGTTGAATGGCAAAATAATTCTTTCATGATAGAGTTTTCTGATTAAATTTGAAACATAAATGTCCTCAGTGGCACACAAAGATTTATATGACTAAGTTTTTAATCAAAAGTTTTTAAAATTTTTACAAAATATGAAATAAATGAAAAAAAAATTTCGGACTTTGAGGTGCATATGTTTGGGTGGAAGACTGAGTGTTCAAAATATGTTGGTTCTATGTACTGCCATTTTTTGACAATGCAGTTTGAATTTGAAGGACAAATATATTGCTTTGTGCTGAGTGGCAACACACTTCTTTTATATGGCTAATTTTTCTGATTTAATTTGAAACAAATATAGGTACTATTCTGTTTTGAGGACCGTAAAAAAATTGCAGCGAAACTGTATGCGCAAAAGCGGCAAATCTAGCAAACGCGCCCATTTAAAAGCAGCACGTCAAATCTAGCGTAGCGCAAATTTCAGATTGCGTAAGTTTATATAGTTCTATTTCTTCAGACTCCATTGAAATACTAGTTTAATTTTTAAATCCTTTTTTGATATCCTACGGAGTTAACAATCCATATTGCTGGGACGAAAAGTCTGCAATAGAATTGCCCATGACGAAAAGTCTGCAATAGAATTTTGGGTAAAGTGCAGAATCCCCTACTGCTTGACGCGTTTTTAAGAATTGCACATACTCGGCATCCATGTACATATCGACCTATTTTCACTTAAAAAAAAAAATCCCAGAGTTGTACAAAAATGGCACTGCGCACACTCTTGACTATGTAAACATCGACCTATTTTCACTTAAAAAGTAAAAGAAAATTGACAAAAATCCAATTGTTTTTAAAAAGCGGCGAACAAATAAGTGGGCAATTCTGCACTTTACCGAGAATTTTTTCAAAGAAAAGGCATCATTCATTATAGAAAATTATGTTTAAACAACCAACGAAATAAAATTATGCTTTAGCGATAACTCGGTAGTGAAATAGCAATGCAGGCATCCATTCAGTTATGTTTAGCAATTTTTATATAAATTATAAGAATGATCTGCAATAGATATTTACTCTTATGCTTCCATTCAGTCATGTTTAGCCTTTTTTACTTTCTTGTACGAAGTAAAAAGGAAGTATTGTAATCGCGAAAAGTTTCAGGCAGCATATTTCAACGAAAATATCCATTTTGACTGCTATCGAATGCAATTTAATGATGTTTTTGCGTGATATCTGTACGTAAGGACAGAATAAAATACTCTTTTCCTTCAAAAAAATTATAAAACTGCTTTAAAATTAATTCTGAAGAGAATTTTTCATGGCGTCTGTACAAACGTATCTCGCATAACTCAAAAACGAGCAGCCTCAGACCGTTGAAATTTTGTATATAGGACTGCTATAACATGTAGATGTGCACCTCGTATTTTGGTTGCAATTGGCCGCACCAAACGTATATAAATATATTTATGTATATATCAACTCTGTTACCTGGCTCAGTGATCTCAGTTTCTTTACTCTTATATGTTGGTAAATTGTACATATTTTGCTTTAAAAATGATTGAATTATGTTGTTTTTATCTTCTGGTTAAGGATTTTATGCCTTTAGTAAATCTGTGTGCTATATTTTTAGAATGATCAGGAATTTTAAAGTTGTTTAATTGCCGCTAAGCCTTTTTTAATGGCGGCCATTGATGTTTACATTTGAAACAGGAGACTAGTGGATTTGTTGCCAATCTAGAGAAACTTAGCTTTGCAACAACAAAGATAATGCCTTCATTTATTATTTAAATCATGCTTAATCCTTTCTGGAATTTTTTCGAGAAAATAAGCGTTTAAGATTTACTTTGTAATTTTTAATATAGATATTTTGAGTTTTTATGTATTTTTGCCTTCTCGCAAAGTGAGAACTGAACTAATTAAATGAGAAATACTCAATCGTCTGTGAAAAACTGTTTCTTTTTTGTTTTGTTTGCTTAATTTCTTTTATACATCGTTCTAGCTTTATTATAGTATTTGAATAGAACATGTGGCAACGATTAGATAATTCTAATCTTTAAATGCTATAAATTTTGTGCATTATGAGTTATAATATGAACGAAATATATAAGTTAACTGTTATATAATTATTGGATTATATAACAGTTAACTTAGTTTTCGTTATAAAATTATTATATAAGTTAACTGTTATATAATTATTAATACTGTTAAGTGAATCTAGCGCCAGAGTGTCGCTATGGTAAACAAATACTAGAGTGAATTTTAAAGAATGCATTTATTCTATTGTGGTTTATGCGCTGTCGGCGAAGTAGATTTAATTCAATCCAATAAGTTTAAATGAAATGCAAGAAAAAAATGCGTATAATTTAATATTCCAATACAAGGAAGTCATGGGGTGTACACATCAGATTTTTTATATAAATTATAATAATAAAAAAGTATTATATAAAATTAACTTTTCATCTAAATTAAAACATCAATCTTAGATAGTTATTTATCTTGTATTAGGGTTGCCGCAATTATTTTTGGCAGCACTGGCATCAACAAAAGTTTGGCGATTTTTTACGGCCCTCAAAACACCGAATAGTACCCAAATATGTTATGCTTTGTCAAATGGCAACACAAAGCTTTTAAATTGCTGAGTTTTTATTCAAAAGTTCAGTAAATTTGCATGAAATACAAAATAAGTAAGGAAAAAAAAAAAAAAATTCAGAAGTCAAGCTCTGAGTTGTTCAGGTTAAGGATTACACATGTTCAAAATTTGGTTGATCTAGGTGCCCACATTTTTCCACGATGCAAAGAACATACAAACACATGGACATATAGATTCATTATTTAATAGTAGAGATGGCTACTGCAATGAATTTTTTTGAATAATTGAATGTCATTTAATTTCCATTAAAAAAAGAATCAATGCAAGGTTAAAAGTGGATTTTTATATTATATAAAATATTCTCCAAAATATTGATATTATTAAAAAATGAACTACCCTACTGCTGCACATACCAATATGTCTTTGAAATACATTGCATGTTTTATAAAATAATTTGGTACTTATGCATTAGCTAGGTGCAAAATGATTTTTTAAACTTAGGAACAAAGAATGTGATTCACCCCCCCTCCAGCTGCTGAATATTTTATTGGCAGATCGCTTTTTTAAAATAGTAGCAGGGAAAGGAGGAGAGTAACTTCTAAATTTTTATGCCTAAAAATTTAAATTAACATAAATTTTATAGTCAGTAACAATCAGTGCAATCATTTTATAACAATCAGTGCTTGTTCATAATTAACACACACACACACACACACACAAAAATGATATACTCAAAGAATTTTCTGTCTGTTTCGATAGGATTGTTAAATTGGTAATTTTTGATTTGTTTTGAATAGCGGTCTTTGTAATTGCATAAACCATGTTTGGGAATTCATCACTTGTGCATCATAAACATTTATTATAGCAGGCGTGATGATGAAATGAAAAGCAGAATACGTGATTTTTGAGTGATAAGATTTTGAGGAGGATTAAATTAAGGGAGGATTCCAAGTAAGAAATAGATGATTCCCACTTAGCAACATACCAGACCACTGTTGATGCCTTTAATTTGCATTGTGGCTATGACTTGTTTTCAGCTCAGCTGTTTCAATTTGAAATTGCCTCTAGTCAATCATGCCCTGTCTATGGGGGGAAAACGTGTAACACCCTGTATATTGCCTTCTATACTGCCCTATCTGTTAGTCTTTTTCCTCACTATTGGGAGTTGCTGGACTGCTTAATAAACTTTTGAATTTTTATGTGCTCCTTTTTTAATATCTTGCATTTATATTTTTAATGTATCACATATGTGCTTTAATTATATTTTTCGTGTAGGTTAGTGAAGGACGTTGGAAATGGGATGAAAACATAAGTGTTGAATACACTTCTGCTGTTTTTACTGGTGTATATGGCATGTGGAACCTCTATACTATTGCCCTTCTGGCACTGTATGCACCTTCTCACAAGTATTACCCAGCACAGTCAGGTAAGTGTTTTTGTTTTTTTAGGCAGGAGGAGAAAGATATGTACTCACCTCAGGTTTTTATTTTAACAATGGAAAAGAAGCATGTATTAATTTTAAAATAACCATGTATGCATGATTATTATCAAGAAAGAAATGTAGTGGCTATAAACAACCCTCATTGAGCAACTCATGGTTAAAGCTTCCCTCCTAATAAATTTTGCTACTCTACCCATTTTCATTGGCCATATCAGACTGCTATTATTATGTAACTTTGTGGGTTTATCACTGTTTTAAATGTCTTGATAAAAAACACTTTGTAAATTGAAAATTTTTTGTCATACAATAAAAATGCTTTTTAAACTTATTGCAATTAAATTTTAGAGCTTTAACATTTTCCAAAAAGCATAGTATAAGCTATTAATAAATACCTTTAAGTAACAATTTGCTTGGAGATGTAATTTCAAAGCAGTTATTTTTAATATGTTTTTGAAATACAGATAGATAATTGAAGTGACAGTAGTTTAGTAATAATCTTTTTGTATCCAAATTTGTATCCAGATGTAACATTACTAAATAATACATTATTACATTTACCATAATTTTTTATTCAGAAATCCTGCAGCTGGTAAATACACAGAAGCAAAAATTGCAGAAAATAGATTAATATCTGGGTAAAATAATAAATCTTCTAAAATTATTATCTGTCCTTAATGAAAAACACAATAGGATGAATAATAATAATTCATAACAAAAATATGAATTTGATCAATAATTCAAATCATTATATTTCATGAAGACAGTTTAAGTTATGCAATTTCTTATTCCCTTGCATTTCAATATTTACCTCCTCCATATTTTCAAAAACTTGGCAGGAATTATGAAGTACAATTAGCAAAAAATACAAATTATTTTTTTATATCAATAAGCAATTTTTTTTTTAAGTTGTACCCAAGAATTCTAAAGGAGAGGTAAATTACTATAATATAAATAACGTATAATAACTTCTAAGTAAAATGCAACTATACAATAAACATACATCTCATTAAAATGTTCAGAATTAATATTAACAAGCATAATTCCCAATGCTAAAAGTTATATGTTTGCTTTTATGCTGTCTGGAATATAATTATGTAAGCGGCAATGTGGGGAATTCCTTAGGAAAATTTATGATTTCAGTTTGTGTTGGTTTCTAGGATAATGACTTTCACAGAGAAAAAATTATTTTTTTCCTTACAAGTTTAGCATCTTCTTTAGAGAGAAATGTAAAAATGAAATTTAAAAAAAAAAAGCATTAATGTAGTTTTGAAAATTATGTAAATAAATTATAAAAAAATAATTTTTTCAGAATTCATTCTACTGTAATTAAATAATAATAAAATATTAAAAGAAATTAGTTTTCGAGCCTTAAAACATATTGATATTTTGTCATGATCATCAACTAATGGTTAACATATAAAAATAACTCCAAAATTTTATGTGCTTAGTAACTTAATTGAAGGTTAAGGAATTCAAGTACTAAAAGTTGAATTCTTTATATTGTAAAAATTCGCTTTTGCTAACAGTTTTATACTGTTAAAAAATAAATATTTCTTGCCTTTAAAAATGTTAAATTTATGCAATTAAAAATCACTTGAATTTTCAATTAATCATTCAAATAATTAAAATTCAGCTATGCTTATTATTTTGCATATACTATCTTTTAAAATGCTAAGAAATAACTTTTATGTAACATCAGATTCATTATGTCTAGCATTATCTTATCTCTAGTGTGAACTATAGACAGCTACTTTTAATACAGAAAAAACCATGCCCAGAGAATTAATTCTAACACAAATACGGAAACAGAAACAACATGAATTGAAAGGAATATATAAATAACTTTGTCTAAAAATAATTACCTATGGAAATTTAAACCCTTATTTTTTTATCTATCAGTTCTTACTGAATAACCAGTAGCAGAACAGCAAACTATTATATCAGTTTAAAAAATATTGAAATTAATTTTGAATGTATAATTGTTGCCCAAAGCATCCTGTTGTAACAAGGGACTGGATGAGAAGGAACTGGACTATAGGATGAAAACTGTATCATTTCCATCCTCAGACTAAACACACAATGTCTGCTCCATCTTCTTTCAAATTCCATGATTATAATAATTACTGTACTTAAGAATGTGTGTATGGCTTAAGGAAAATATTATGTATATTTGAAATTAAGCTTGGAATTCCATAGAATATTCATCAGATTTGAAAGGCCAGTGATAAATAAAGAAAATTTGTAGTCATATCATTTAAAGTTAGTGATTAAAATAGAAACTTGTTTTAAACTTCTGTAGCCTATGTGAGTAATCAGTTTAGGTGAATCCTTGCCCTTCAAACAGTAGGTTTAAAAAAAGTCAAACTGAGCTCACTTTTACTGAATACTTTGCATTATAAAAATTCAGCTTTTATTGCCTGGGGCAAAGTTAACCTGCAAGTACAGATTAGGTATATAACTATGTCTCCATCAGAAATATATTTCATTAGATAGGATTCTGTTTTAAAGATGGTGTAAAGATGTGCTAGTAGATAAATGCTATGAATAACTTTGTCATAAAAAATTTGTATTTGATGAGTTTTATGTACTTTTCATTATTAATTGTTGATGTCAAAATTTATCAATAAATGTATTTTACAGTAATTTTTTATTCTAGAATTTAGTTTGTCATAAATCTTTTTGTTATGTCTGTGAACCTAAACTTTGGAACTTTTTAGTTAAAAACTTTGTTGTTAAAAATTGCATGTCCATTTTTACTTTTCTTTAGCCTTTCAAACTTAAAACTGTTGACAGTATCATAATGCTAAATGGGTTACATATATTTGACTTCCAACCAGGGCTGTGGAGTCAGAGTTATGGAGTCGGGCAGATTTTGGAGTAAAAGAAATCGGAGCTGGAGTTGCTAAAACAGGACTCCGACTCCAGTTTTTGTTGGACAGTTTGTATTTGAATTGAAATTAAAATTAATTGAAAAAATTAATGATAAGCAGACTTATTTTTATTTATGGACTATATATATTAATACATAGTTATTTTCTATTTTATTGACATGTTAATAAATAAATAAGGGAGGAGGATGGATGTGATATTTGTCATTGGTGATTAAACTGATTCATTTAGTTACAAATCTCGCTGGTAAATTTAGGTAAGCAGCAATAGCTGCAAGAACTCCCAAAATTGATGCTGTTCTTAGGAAGCGAGCAAGAAAAGGAGCAATTATTGATCAAGCAATGGGATAAAGAAAGTACATATTTGATGAAAAAGAGGTTGTTAGGATTAAGAACGTTTTCATAAAATGTAAATAACCCTAATATTTCTCTAACATAAAGACTGCGGAATGATCTTGCAGAACTGGAAACCCTTCTTTCAACATATATAAAAGCTACAATCTGAAGAATTAACATGAGACGAGAATGTTTGAAGATGTAGATAACTCTAATGTTTCACTAACAGAAAAACTGTGAAATGGTCTTGCAGAATTGGAAACTCTTCTTTCTACACTGTATATAGCCACAAAAAAGCTGCTATCTGAAGAATTGACAGGTGGCGAGAATGAAAGAATGTGATGGTTGTTCTTTCTGAAATGGAGGGCTTATTGCAGAAGGAATCATTTTTTCAATGAAGAAAAGAGAAACTAGTTTGCTAAACAATGAGATCTTGCTGGGTTCAATATATGTAGATACGAAACACCAAATTTTCTTGGATGATGAACAAATTAAAAAGGCAAAGAAAGCCATCTATGAACTTTCATTAAGAATGAAATTATTCTCAGAACAATTGGAGAATTCGAATCAGGACAGTCAAACTACAGACATTGCAGTTGAGTCTCTATCATCCTCTTCCAAAGATGAATTAGATTTTGAGAAATATTTTTGGATAATATTGAAAAGGCTAGGGCAAAGCGAATGAAAATAAAGAACCAAGAACCTTTAGATATAAAAATGAAAATATACAAACAAGATTTCTACATGGCCTATAAAGAAATAAAGAAATATGATTGTGCTTGCAAGAACTGATAAAAATCCATCCTGAAAAGTTAAAAGAAGTAGACCTAACAGTAATAGCTCTTCCTCCTACTCAAGTTAGTGTGGAAAGACTCTTCTCAGCTCTAAAGTTTATCAAATCAGATCTATGGCCGTAAAACAAAGATCTTTTGAAGCTATACTTTTTCTTAGAAATAACTGATGCCAGTTTTTCCATTTCATAATAAATGCTAATTAATATGAGTAATTTGCTATGCCATCATTTTTTTTTTTTTTTTTTTTTTTTCCCCTGTCGCATCTATTACTTCTTTTACGTTAAAAAAAAATAAGTTGTAACCAATGTGTATATGTTTTACACACACACACACATCTCATCTATATATATATATATATATATATATATATTCCTTACCAACTCCACAGCCCTGCTTCCAACCAACAGCTACCTAGAAAATATTTTAACAACTCAGTATCGCACCTACCAATAGTTGGTTATTGAGATTGAAGCAGAACAGAGACCTATTTGAGGTCTTCAGCAGAAAGCATTTGGTTACATTGTAGAAGCAGGCTAATAATCTATAGTCTCTGAAGGCAAACATACTTAAAAAATCATTACAATCTTCATACTAGACATCAGAAGCATCATTTCATGTCTAGAAGCAACATTTTTTCATGAAAATATGAGTATATACCAATCTCTGAGAATAAAATTCTGTCTTGATTCTTTTATGAGCCATCATTTGTCAAAGTAGATCTCTTGGTTTCATATATCCATGTCGAATATGTTGAGATTATTAGTGTTAGCCATCCTCAAAGAGTTAAATTTGTGAAGGATTTACTATGAATTTTTTAAATATAAAATGTCTTTATTCATTTTTAACATTTTGTGAAGATTTGTGAATGTCTTTAGTGGCAATTATGTGATCATATTCAAGTTATATCTCCCTCTGTTAGATGCTATTTCATCAACACAAGAAGAGATAGAATTTAGTCGACTTACAACTTCTGAGCCTTCACCATCGGAGCCAACTGAGATTTCCAGCCTCACTGGCTTAGCTAAAAAGGCTGCATTTGATTAAAAATTGTGTAAAATAAGTTAACAGCATTTAACTTGATTATCTCATAAAATTATTTTTTGTATTTAGCTTTATGTTTTCTTGTTTGACGCTTCAAGTTCATATCTAAGAAATCATATGAGTTTTGATTAAAACTATGGAGTTTTATTTTCAACATCAAAGCATTTATTTCTGCCATTTCAAGCTGCTGTGTTTTTTACATATAAATATGTCATGAATTATTTTTTATATTGATCAACGCAGGTGGATATAATCTCATTTCTCAAGCATTTGGTAGGATATATAAATAAAGCAAAATTTTAAATGTTATGTTTATTAAATATTTTTTCCTGCATAAAATTATTCATTTGGTCAGAAATTGTTTTTTATTTTTTGCAATTATTTAGGTGGCTGGAAAGTAATTTTGTCTTCCAAAGTGAAAAAAAAAAGTTAATATAATTTTCATAGAATTTTTCTTAAGATCTGTCTTATTGATTATTACTAATAATAAAAAATTCAGTTTTTAATTTTTTTCAATTCTTTCTTTTCAAAACTGAACTTTTATTCATGATCATTGTGTGTATTTTATGAGGTTACTAAACTAATAACTTGTGATCTCTGCCCAGTGTTGAGGGCATACGTCAATTAATTGCACCTTGCTAATAGATAACAAATGTAGAATGTACCTAACAGTTACTACATATATTAGTAAAAAAATGTTTAAAAATACCTATTTAAAATATTTAAAATCAGATATAGGATATGTTTTCCATTAGGATAACACATATCAAAGAATTTTCTGAAGAAAGATATATGTATCAATACTGTGCATTGTTAGTTGTTATTCCCACCTGTTATAACAAAGTTTTTGTTTTAAAAGTAATAACTGTCAATAAAAAGTTTTTAAGGGATTGCATTCTATTCCATTTTTTGTTTATTTAAGTAAATTGACCTAAAAGATATATTTCTTATGATTAGAAATATTTTACCAATTCTCAAAATGAGTTGATGATGAAAATATGTTTTCTCGCTGGAATTTGGCACAAATATCTTTCATGAAAAAGTATTTTGGTGTGTATTATGATAATAGTGGAAAAGATCTAAAATAGATTAATAAATTACTTAATTGCTTTTCGGGAAGCCAAAGTTCCTTTCCTACCAATATATGTATTGTTTTAGCAAGAGGAGGAAATTTATTTAAATAATGTAAATTGGACGAGTAGTGTATAAAGTTATACAAATTTTAATATTTAAAGAATCATATCTCAAAAAAGTAGTGAACGCACAAGCTTTTATTAAAGTTTCCATGTTTTGTATTGTGTGATTTTATAACTGTTTGCAGCTAATATCCTGACCCTTTTATAACTGTAGGGACCACTTAAATGAATTTTTTCTGTAAAACATGTTACCTATTATTGTGTTCTACAAAACCGAATGTTAGATTCCTTGAAATTCACATTGTTACGAAAACAATTTGTATGGAGTTTTAACCAGTTGTACAGCCATTTATTGACTTGATAGTTTAGAAATTTTAATTTACTAGATTTGTATATATGTAACTGTTATATTATATCAGTTTGCAGAAGTATTTATGTAGTTTTTTTATGTTCAGATTTCTGTTGAAATTTATGTGCATTTGCCCTTAATTTTCTGACATCATTATTTCCAAATTTCTGTTAATCATTAAATATTTCTTTTCCCCAAAAAATGCATATGTTTAATGTAAAGGACATTATTTCTTATGTACTATTCCAAATTCTATGTATCATTTTTTATTAAAAGTGAACATTGTAAAAAGCTATCTAAATTTTAAATACTGTGATTTGGCAACTACTCCTTCTTCATACGTTAAACAGTAAATAGCAAAATCATATGTTAAAAAGATAATGGTTTAATTAATTTCAATAAAATGTGTCTGACAGATTTTGATAATATAGACAGTAATGTACATTACAGAGAACTGCATTGAAAATTTGGTAATTTATTATTAAAATATTAGCATATAGAATCTGAATTCTTTAATTGGGGTATATGTTTAATTGAAAGATTTTTCAGGCTCAACAATGAGAATTTACAAAATTGTTATTGAGTTTCTTCCCTCTAGAAATTTATCACTCTTCTTGTAAAAGCTCTTGAAATTATAGAAAATGTAAGAAAAGTAGAGCAGTTAAAAGTTAAACATCTTTATTGAATTTAGCTTAGGTAACCTAGATAACTTTGGTAAAGCTTATTGTTATATTATTTGTTGGACTATCAAGAAAACAATGTATAGTCAGAAAGTGTATTCATTAACTTAGGATTGAAAAGAAATAGCTTCAGAACCATGTTGGCAATCAACATTTTTGTAAAAATTCTTTGCCAATACTGATTAATATTCCAAAAATCTATGGCAATATTCCAGTCCATGGATCAATCTGAAAATTAATTTGGGACTGTAAGCTCTTGTCTTCATATTGTGTTCCATACAAGCTTTTTTAAAAGTTCTGGTAAAGTGAACATTTCAAAAATATTTTGAATAATATGTTACCTGAAAAGCTAAACATCTATAAAGATTAATTAAGCCATTTTTATTTGTATAGTTATCTAAAATAATATGAACTAGAATAGTTTTCACAAGACTAATTATAGTAGAATTCCATTTTCTGTGTAGTGGTATATGGAACACTGGTATATTTAAATTGCTTTTTTAATATTTGTAATTACTTATCTATTAATGGTAGCTGTTTAAAAAAAATGCACCCACCGAATCATCAAATCTTGAAGGCCACTGGGCTTGAGCATATTCTATCATTAATTTACAATTGTGCATATTTTCAAGGTCAAATTTATTAGATTTATTTATATGAGAGAATATCAGTGATACAATTAACTAATCACATCATATAAAAATAATTGTCAGACCTTCTATATGCAGTTTTTGTAAGAAGAATTTTTCCATAAATGCAGAGTTGTCTGAAGCTTGCTACTGTGCAATTTAAAAAAAAAAAAAAAAAAAAAAAATTATTTTTTATTTGGGAGAAAGTAATTCTTCATCAGTGGTGTCTTCAGCTATCTAGGAATGAACTTTTTAAAGATATTTTAATACTTCTTGACAATAACTTTTACATTTCACCCTTTAATTACCTTGATTGATCTAGTCAACTCATAACTGTACACAGCCTTCCCATTTGATTTCATCAAACGATATCAGTAACATTTGCTAATCTGTTTTTTATGGCAAGATATTCATTTTAGTTGAACTTAGCATTTATTTATGGATTTGAAACATTAATAGCTTTTTTACATGTATTTTTATATAAAATTAGCATAAAGTAAAATGGCTTAACTTTTGAGTCTTAAGAGTATGTAAATGATGTATTTATTGTTACCAGTCTAAAAAAAAATCAAAATGTACTGCATGGAAAAAGGCTATTTTATCAACTTTTTCCTTGATTTAAAGTAGTTATGTTTGTTTGGTTTTCAGTACCTAAAAGTTCCATTTAAATGCAATAAATCTGTAAACCAGAGTGTTTTTGTTGAATGTAGTCTTTAACCTGGCAGAAATACATGTATAAAATATTCTTAGTTATGGTATGAATACAAAAAGTCTCTTTTCATGATAAATATGACAATGGGATTGCTTAAATATACAGAATTAAAAATGCTTCTTTATGAAAATTGTCCAAGGTATTTAAGAACGATTGTGTGACTTAACATTTTGTATATGGTTGGTGATAAACCTGTGATATTTTCAGTTTATGAAATATATCAATGACAGGTTTGATCATATGATGCCTTTGAGTAAAATATATATGCAAAATACATTTTTACAGTTTTTACATATATCCTCAAGGGAAAAAATTCCGATAAACAACTGTTTCTGTATCATATTCAAGATCCTGTTGAAGAAAAGATAATTCTGTAACATTTAAAATTAATCTCCAAGAAGTTATCAAAATTTATGTGACTTTAACACACACTTTCCACTATGAAACAGACCGTGAAAACTACTGGTGTTAGGGAGCCATATAAAAATTGATTATGCTAGATAAAAAAATTTTGAATTCGAATGTATATATATACTTAAATTAATTCGATCCCCTTGCCTTTTTTTGGGGGAGGGGCGTTTAAAAATTTACGTTTTGTACATTTGAGCTTACTCTATAGCCACTCAAGAGAATATTTAATCGTACAATCATATTCAAGAGACATTTAATCTTGCAAGTTTGAAACATACTATATTATTACAACCTTTATTAAATGTGTGCAAAGTACAAGAAATTTTATAAATTAATAATACACATTTTAAATGATTTATATAATTTATTTTTCATATTTTATGTTAGATATTTTGATTACACAGTTCATTCATGTTTATGCTGAAGGGTTAAGTTGTTGCTATATTACCATTAGCATATTGCCAGTGGAAATTTTATTTCATTACACCGTCCATTATCATGAGCATATTATGACATTTTGTATTTCATCTTGAGTTGTGATTTATATGTTTAATTTTTTTGCCAGTATTTTACCTTTTGTTTATCCTGTGTCTGTGATTAATTTGTTGTGGTAACAGATTTAAGTTTTTTTTTTTAGTTTGACAAATAAGTTTTTATTTGGGGGGAGTAAATTAATGTATTTATTTGCATTATGATCAAAAGTTATCTTTTGTATTATGTTGTGTCTATTTGTTGACTTATTGCCATATGAATACATTGCCAAATTTTATCTTGAAATGTGTTTTGCTTGAATATTTAAATGAAGGTTAAGCTGCTGTATATAGTATTAATTATTTTGGTGCTGGTGTCTGTTTTTTATATGCTATTTATATGTATGTCCTGCCATTTTTCTGCCTTTCTACAGAAAACTCAGTCATGTCTGTATTTGATTTTTTTTAATGTCTGTAGATACAGATACTTAAGCTGTAGTCAGATCTGCTTATTAAAGTAGGTACTTTTGCACTGAAAATTAGTAAGTGAGATGTTCTGTTTTTTGGAATTCTTAACATTGCATTTATACATTAGAATCAAAACTTGATAATGTTAAAAAAATAAATATGATCTTAATGATTTCAAATTTTTTTTCTATACTAATATTATTCACTTTGTTTTAAGTAACTGTTTATGATCAAATAACTGTCATTATCGTAAATATGACTTTATTGTCATTATTTTGAGAAAAGTTTTTCTTGTTATAAATTTTCTTTCCTTTCTTCTTTTTATATTTTTTTAAATAGTAAGATTCTTCTTATAAACCTTTCTTGGTTTGCCTGGTGTACCCTTAAGTTTGCAGTGCTTCTGGAAACCAAATGTAACTTTTTACAGTTTTGCAAGTTCCAGGTTTTCATAAGTTTTGGCTTCTGAATAACCAATAAGAAGACCTTCTTCATTCTTTGGCAAAAGTTTTTCGTATTAGAGTTGGTCAGCACAAAAGCTTTGCTTCCTGTTTTTCTCAAGGGACTGTCGGTATTAGTGTTTTAGGCTTTTTTTTTTTTTAGACTAAATTTGATCTGTCGATAAAATTTCTGTATTTTGATTTAAATATTAGACACCATTTCAACTAATGTGCGACTTGCACATTATAAATTTTGTTGAGTTCTTCACTCAACTGAAAATTGTCTTTTTATGCTTGCATTCTCTAGAAATTAGTTTAATTTATGACTTATGAATTCAAATATATTATCACTTCAGAAAATTTTTCTCCTTTTCAATTATTAATTTATACTTCTTGAGTATTCTCTCATGTCCATAAATGTAATTTACAGTTTTTAACATTTGTCATACAATGTGCAACATACGGAACTTCATAACATACATCTCGATTGCTTGGTAGCTTGCAAGATGCTGTACAGTCAAAAGTCGTTAATCCGGACTTGTCGGGACTTCGGCGATTCCGGATTATCATTTTCCGGATTATAGATCATCATTTAATCGCAAAGATGCATGCGAAATTCTAAAATAAAATATGAACCTAATTTATGAATAAAGAACAATTATGATCTAACGGGTATCAAATTTACACAAAAAAAAAAAAAAAAAAGCTTAATATTGTTATTTATTAAACATTTTCAATTAGTGTTTAAGTGCTTCATTTTATGTGATAATATTCTCTTTATTCTATAAACAGAATATTTTTGTCAGTTACAAAGTTCCCGTTTCAAGACTGTTATTTGCTGTGCGAAGATACCGCTAATTGCAACGAAATTTTTTTCGTTTTCACTACCTTTTGTCACATTCTTGTGTCTTTATCCATTTTTTGCAGCAGTCACTTTTTTTGATGGACATCAAAACATATTTGTTTGTCGATCCTTTGGGAGCTCCAGATTCGGAATTCTATTTGACTAATCGAAGTCAGTTTCTTTTATAGTATTGCTCTTACAGTCTCAAAAATAATAAGCCGGATCCAATCAAAAATTAAGGAACAACGCAATCATTAACATTAATGAAATAGAAATTTTATTTTTAGTATATCGTTCGTTATAATAAAACGTGCACGCGAAAACGTATTTGCGCTTGCGCACATGCAAATGCGCAGTAATAAGGACTTCAGCACCGTAAACGCTAGTGCATGTGTCAACACGGCGCATGCCAGCGAAAGGTTTTAGCTTGAGGCCATTATAGATCATTCTGGATTATGGGTGTCTAATTAACGACTTTTGACGTCTATTTGATCTTTACCTACATCCGTTGCATAATGTGTTAATTAAGTTATTTTAGCTTGGAAACAGGCAAAACATTTTTAGAATTCCCTTTTTTTTTTTTTTTTTTTTTTTTTTTTTTTTTTTAATGTGAATTTGTGAAATTCAGTTTTATTATTGCCCACATGTGGAGGAGCATTAAGATACTATTTATATATTCCTAGTTCTCACATGCTTTTTCGTCATTTTTTTTAGCTCGTGCTTTTTTTTTGATGTTTTACATCTTTTTTTGTTGCAGTCCCAACATCTAATGGCTAATTTTCTTAATAGAGCTTATTTTTACATTACCATTAAATTTAGTAATTAAAGCATCCTGAACTTGACTGTTTTGCTGCATTTTAAATGTATGCCTTTTCTCTTCCTGTAATAACCTAATTTTTAAAGCCTGGCCATTGATCAGAAGATTCTGCCACTATTCCAAAGCTATCAGATTCCTTGGTTAAGCTACAAAGAAACAAAATCATTAAAAACTCAATACACATTTTGGCAAGTTTATCTATAACTTCAGAGAAATTTGTTAAATGCTTCTCTGTCATTTCATTAATTTGCATCTTTTTGTAAATTAGTTGTTTCATTAAACTAATTTCTGTTATAGATACCTTAGGTTGATATATTTCATGCAAGTTTAATCAAGCTTCATTTGACATTTTACCGTTTTTATGTGCATTATCTCTTGTGATTTTATGCACTTACTTCAAAAGCTTTTTGATATTTTGTAACCCATTTATCAATTTCTACTAGATTTGGCTTTGTAACATCAGTTTTATGAATGTCTATAGATAACTTTAGCTAAAATCATTTTGATTTTAAATATGTGTATTTCAAATTGGTTTTATCAGACTCTGTTAACTTAAGTTAAAGTCAATCATTTTGCTATTATTTTCATTTAAACCTCGCGTTTCACTCAAAGATACCTACTTACCAGGCAAAGCATTTACAAGACTTTTTGATAATGGACCCCTTTCTCACTGTTGCATAAAAGAAATAAAAAGGAGGTAACTATAATTTTAGACAATTCACACCACAACAAAGGAATCCTTAATGTGTTACACACAGTGTTATTTAAGGATGTATTGCAGGCATCAAACATATGGGGAGTCCGGGTTTTTTTACTGTATTAGAATTCTTGTTCTTCTACTTAGAAACTGGGGCAACAATAATGACAACATCAGCATCATTGCATCTTGTCATATATTCCAGTCGCTAGTTGCACTGAGTCAATGTATTAAGAGTGATCATAATATAAAAGAAAACAAAAGCATTGAAGCATCAAACGGGAATCCAAGGCACTGCAATTTAATTGCAGCTAAGCCCAGGTAAGTAGGAAAGGCAAATTTCCAATAAGTTAATCATGATCAATTTCACTTTGCATGTATTTACTATCAGAAAATTGACCAGACTGTCAAAATACATAAATTTGGAAAAGCTTTGCTGTATTATTTCTTTTGATGCCAGATCGAGTGTAATAGGATTTGACTTCCCCCCCCTCTTACAGCATAGAAATTTGGATTCAGATCCAAACAGGTTTTTACATATTTAATTATCATTTTGAATCTGATAATCTTCAGCATATAATACAAATATGAGAAAAGTAACATTTGGAGAACAGACCCCTGGAAAAATTACTGTTGCCAGACATTAGCCAAACAGTCATCTTACCACCAGATCTTTAGAAAATGTAATCAACACTAGCTTTGTTCATTTACTAAAATCATTCTTATAACTGGGATTATGTTAATAGATAATATTCTATGAAGCTGGAAATTTTTTCACAAAAATAGTTTGCCCATAGTTTGGAGACATGCTGATTACATACTTATTTTATTAAGAAGG